AAATAAAAGCCTTAGAAGAAAATAAGACTTGGTATTTCACTAATCTTCCCCCTGGAAAGAGAACTATAGGTTGTAAATGGGTTTATAAAACCAAATATAAAGCTGATGGTTCTATTGAAAGACATAAGGCTAGACTAGTGGCTAAGGGTTTCACTCAATTAGAAGGAGTAGATTTCTTAGACACTTTTTCTCCTGTTATTAAAATTACCACTGTTAGACTCATGCTTGCTATTGCAGCTGTTAAGAATTGGCATCTTGTTCAACTAGATGTCAATAATGCCTTCCTTCATGGAGACCTCAATGAGGAAGTGTACATGGATCCCCCCTGGCGTGATACCTCCTCAAGCAAATCAGTGCTCGCGCTTAACCAAATCCCTCTATGGATTAAAACAGGCTAGTAGGCGAGTGGTTTGCCAAATTATCTACTTCTCTTCTTTCAATTGGTTTTATACAATCTCAATCTGATCATTCTCTTTTTACAAAGAAAAATGTTTCTTCCTTCACTCGCTTTACTCATTTATGTAGATGATATAATTCTTGGAGGTGATTCAATTGATGAAATCAACACCGTCAAGCAATTTCTTAATCAACAATTTCAGATTAAAGATTTGGGACAACTGAAATATTTCCTTGGCCTAGAAGTTGCTCGTACTTACACAAGGCATTCACATTTGTCAACGCAAATACACTCTTGATATCCTTGCTGACGAGTGGTCATCTAGTCTGCTCGACCATGTTCTACTCCTATTATCAAGGACACCAAATTGTTTTTCGATGATAATGCTGATCTTTGTGATGCAGATGCTTATCGCCGCCTTATTGGACGACTTTTGTATCTTACAAATACGCGACCAGATATAAGTTTTGCTGTTAATTTTCTAAGTCAGTTTAATCAAAAGCCCACTGTCTTCCATCAAGCTACTGCCAATCGTATACTTCATTATTTGAAAGCTAATCCTGGTCAAGGTTTGTTTTTCTCTTCCAATTCCAACATTCAATTGAAAGGATTTAGTGATTCAGATTGGGCTTCATGTTTGACAACTCGTCGCTCTACCACTGGATTCTGTATCTTTTTGGGTAATTCGTTGATTTCTTGGCGATCAAAAAAACAACACATTGTTTCTCGTTCCTCAACAGAAGCAGAATACAGGGCTCTTGCTATCACCAGCTGCGAGCTTCAATGGCTCAATTACTTGCTTCATGATTTCAACATCTTCAAGTCCAATCAAGCTGTCATCTATTGTGATAACCAAGCTGTTCGTCACATTGCTACTCATTCTAACTTTCATGAACGCACCAAACACATTGACATTGATTGTCATGTGGTCAGAGATCGTGTGCAGGCCAACCTCTTCCATCTTCTTCCCATTTCTTCTACAAATCAACTTGCAGATGTTTTCACCAAAGCTCTCGATCCTTCACCTTTTCTTAACAATATTTCCAAGCTGGGTGCTCTTAATATTCACTCTCCAGCTTGAGGGGAGGCTATTAGTTACATGTGTACCTTTTCCATTTGTTAGTATTGTTTTATGCAGGTTTGACTAACTGCATATTTGACTTTTTTCCTTTTTATATTTAACCTTCTTTTCTTCCTCAAACATATTGGATTTTCCTTTTGTATTCGATCAGTATATGAATTAGATCAGTTTTTTCTTCTCTGCTATTTTCTCCCAAATTCTCAATGGGATCTCAATTAGATCAGTGTTTGTTTGGTTCATTTATCATATTTATTTGTTATGATGAGAAAAAGAAAGAAAGATATAACACTACTACAAAATATATTTTCTACGTCGTCATTTAGCGTCGGTTATAGCGGAGACGACGTAGAAAGTACTTTCCACGTCGGTTCCCAAATGAACCGACGTCGAAAGTTGAATATTAAACACATTCTACGTCGGTTCTTAGTCAACCGACGTTGAAAGTCTTTTTTTTTTCACCCAAAAAACTCACTTAAATTTGAAAATTAACATTGGCAAGATTCGAACCCAATACTTTAGAATTGGAGACTGATACTCCAACCACTAAACTACTAGAATTTTCTCGATAATAACTTACAAATAAATTATATTTATATACAAATAAATATATATCCATGTAAGTATATATTTATTTGTATATATTTTTTGGAAAGTATTTTTATTTTTTTTTCAACCAAAAATTCTCTTAAGTTAATGAATTGTCACTGATAGCATTTGAACCCAGTATTTTAGGGTTGAAAGTTAATATCCCAACCACTAAACTACTATAATTTTTTTATAATAACTTACAAATAAGTTATATTGGTATTTTTCAATCGAGGGTGAAAGTGTGATTGACTCTTACTTGAGTGAAAATATGTTAAAGCTCACAAAAATTCACTCAAGTCTCGCTTGAGCGAAAATTGGTATTTTTCGCTTGAGAGTAAATAACGCGTTTCCCAAATTTATTTTATATCATTATATAAATAAAATTATAAAGATTATATTACGTCATTAAATTACAAACTCATATAAAGATACATGCTCACAAATTTAGCATAAAATTTTGAAAACCCACTCGACACACACTTTCACTTTCGAGTGTGCCCTCACATCCAACATATAAATATATAACTATATAAATATATCAAAATATATAAATATATTTGTATTTATATATTTATATATTTACACGGATATATATTTATTTGTATATAAATATAATTTATTTGTAAGTTATTATCGAGAAAATTCTAGTAGTTTAGTGGTTGGAGTATCGACCTCCAACTCTAAAGTACTAGGTTCGAATCCTGCCAATGACAATTCTCTTAAAAAATTAATAAACTTCTAAAAAATTTAATATAAAGATATGGATGACCTAATATAAAGATAGGAGAGACTTTTAGATAAATAAAAAGGGATAAAGGGATTGTAAATAAATTCTCTGTATTTTAAGTATGTATTTTTTTATTCTATAATAAAAAATATTTTTAATATGTTATATTAAAACATGACAATTCAATCTATTTTCTTTCGCCTATTCTGTCGCTAAAAACAGGTTAAGACATATTGTTTTACTTGTTAATGGTAGATTAAAACTAATTCTTATTTTTGCAAAATTAACCAAAATTAATATATTTAGTTAAGTGACCTATAACAAATTCATAATGTAACCTAAATTTGATTTATATATTTTTCCTATTGGTATTAAAAAATATTTTTTTATAAAATAAACTAGTTATCTTTTAATAGTTGTAGCGCACTAAAATCATTGTAAAACATAAATAGTGAAAATTCTAAACCAAAACACTTAATAGTATTTAAATATATTCATAAAAAATATAATAACTCGACCCAAATTGTTCTATTTTAGTGGCAAGTTAAAAAGAACTAATAAAAAAAACTAATTTATTATTAAATTACTTTCATCTAAAAAAATGTGATCAAATTAATCGAATGAAATGAAACTAAGTAAATTTGCTATATGAAATTGGAATGCAGCCATGCAAGTTTTCATGAAGAAGTAGTAACTTGTATTTTTATCTTTCATATTTTTTTTTCAAGTCATTAATCTAGTATTCTATCATTACACTTAAAAATAATAATAATAATAATAATAATAATAATAATAGTAATAATAATAATTTAACTACAACTATTTTTTAATATAATAATAATAATAATAATAATAATATATTAAGAAGAGTTGTTAAATGGAAATTTGGAAGGAGAGAGCAGTTTATAAATAATTGCTGTTATTTATTTACTTAAATTTCTCTCTAGGGACTTAATGATTATTTCACTGGATCAATTTATAAAGTTTTAACAAGGATTACGTCATTGTGACATCTTAATTAAATTCCTTTTTTTGTTTGTTTAAGTGTGTGTTTTGTAGATGACGGGACATTTGGTTTGTTTTAATCAAACAAAAGCGTGCACTATGTTTTCTTTTAGGATAAATATGTATACACACTCGAACTTATCTGAGGCTTCATAGAAAAAATAGAAGAGAAATCTAAACATGATATGATATTTAATGCGATTTGATAAAAGAAAAAAAAAGATAAATAGAAAAATAGTGACAAATACAATTTAGTGATAATTTTGGATGTATTTTATAAATATCTTCATAACAGCTACACTCTTATATTTTAAGTAGTTTTTATTTAGAAAAAAGATAAAATCTAAGATTCTTTCTTACACAGGAAATTCTACTCCAATTACATATTTTCTTTTTATTTATGGTACGTGAGAATAACTTTATTAGTTATAATATTTTAAAAATGTTATTTTTTAAATTCAGAATTATACCGAAAAAATAACACCTATTATACCTACCAAACACACACACACACACAAAGAAAAAAAACTGAAAAAAGTGTGGGGGATAAGACGGATATAGCACAAACGCTAGATCTGAGCGTGTACAACACAACAAGAAAAATACTTTTGAACTGTCGATTATTGTTGATAAATAAAAGCAATTAGATGGATATTAATTTTAAGCCGAATTAATTAACATTCTTACTCAAAATAAATAGGACCACAATTTCAGTCACCACTCGTCACTCATCAAACTATTGTAAATATTAAAAATTATATATATATATATATATATATATATATATATATATATATTTATGTATATATATAGAATTTCCATTTGGAGAAGACAGACAGAGAGTTGCAGAGAATAGTGATGACAGGAGCAAGGAGGAAGCCATAAACCAACCTCAATCTCTTCCAACTCAAACTCTCATCTCAAACCAAAGCAGATCCATCGAACAACCCTTTTATTTGCATCCTCTACCTCTCGATGAAGGACACTTTCTCTATCTAGATAGCACCTTTCTACCTTCTTCTCTTCTCTTCCTCAATCCATTTATCAATTCACCAAATGGTACGGACACAGCACACCCTACTCCTTCGTTATTTTCTGCTCACATATATTGGTGTGATTCCTCTCTCACAGGATCTGTTTTTATATTAGTTTTTTAATTTCATATCATTTCATCATCATCTATCACTTTTCCATCAACAATCATGGAAGGGTACAAGTTACAACTTCCTTTTCACCTCCTCCATCACACATATGTTAAATTGTTGTTTACTTGTCCAGATTGGTTTGAGAACTTTAAGGTACTCAGTTACTAGGATTCCCTAACACAGGTTCCGAGGCTGCCTGTTTAGCTTTTGTTTTTTCAGGATCTGTCACAAACAAGCAAGAAATTTAATTTAATTTTATGAATGTAATCAAATCCCAACATTGGTGGAAGAAGCGTGTATGTTAATCCACCGTAACTATGCAATATACATGCATAATGGGCTAATCAAGATCGAAGTGAAAAGAAAGAATATTTGTGTATATATATAGATCCTGCTGCAAAAGGATGATGAATTGAAATGAAAGGCTAATAATAGAAAGTTGTTGTCGTTGTGTTGTGGCAGTGTCACTGATAGAGAGAGAATAGAATACGAGAACAAAAGCGTAACATGGCGACGTACTTCCATGGAAACACTTCGGAGATTCAATCTTCTGCAGATGGCTTGCAAACGCTTTACCTTATGAATCCATCTTACGTACCTTATGCTGACGCGCCGCACCACCCAACGCTTCTCGTCAATCCCAACGCTTCCAACGCGCTCAACCTCGCGAGTCTCTCCCACGCGCCGCCAGTGTCACCGTCCCCCAACCACCACCAGCACGTGATTCACGGCTTCACAAACATCCTCGGATCCGGGAATTCAGACGAACACACTCACGCCAGACAGTCTTTGTTCGGGGAAAATATCGCCTCCTTCCACGGCTTCTCCGGCGGCCCGTCCTCCGTCGCCCCTCGCGTTCACTATAACCTCTGGGGTTCTGGGGTTGATCAACCGGGAACGCCTTCTAGCAGCTCAGGCGGTGCCGGTTTCCGACGGCCGAGTCAACAGGGGTTGTCTCTCAGCCTTTCGTCTCAGCAAACAAATTTCAGGTCAGTCTCCAATGAGCTTGAAGTTGCCGGACAGGGCCACGTCACTGGAACTGGGAACTCGCCGACGTCAGCGGCGTCGACAGGAGTTTCCGGTGTGATTTTGGGGTCGAAGTATCTGAAAGCCGCGCAGGAGCTTCTAGATGAAGTTGTTAACGTAGGAAAAGGAATCTACAAAGAGGAAAAATTCTCAGAGAAGGTGAAAGCGAATAGGGAATCGACTAATTCTGGTGCTGGTGACGGTTCAAGTGGTGGAGGAGAAAACAGTGCAGGGAAACAAGTGGTTGAACTCAGCACCACTCAGAGACAAGAACTTCAGATGAAGAAGTCCAAGCTTGTCAGCATGCTCGATGAGGTAATGATTTTGTTACTATTATGTACAGGGAATTTTTTATTTGTCATGCAATATATATATATATATATATATATATATATATATATATGATCCCGTGGAAGTACCGTAATTATGAAATCAGTTAAGTCTGTTGCTGTATGGTTTAGTTTTGTCAGTTATTCGGTCTGTGTTGGTGATTTAGTATTTGGAAAATTATGTACTAGTACGATATTCAGCTTTTGGAGAGGAGGCAATAATCAAGAATGTGACAGTGGCAGAGCGTCAGTGAAATTGACTGTAATGCTGTCTCTCGTTTTCAGTTCTTTCTTGTGTGCCCTGAAATTATGTATAGAGAGGAAAGTTAACTGGCAGGAAAAGTAATTTGGTCTGATGAGTACTGTCAGAGAATAATTTGAGTTCGGACCCAGTTGGGTCAGTTTCAGCATTTATCCATGACAATCCGCACCATGGCAGAGATCCTTTATTGATTCAGATTAAGGAAGTAAAATTTCAAACTTTATAGTTTATACTAATAAGTGTCCAATTATCTTACTACTTTGTCTAGTTTCACCATTCATCTTAACAGCCAGTCTAACTTCTTAATTACATATGCTATCTATATGATCATATACGATTCTAATATATATATATATATATATATATATATATATATATATATTTTATATTTATTTCATGAATTGCAGGTGGAACAAAGGTACAGGCAATATCACCACCAAATGCAAATTGTGGTATCATCATTTGAGCAAGCAGCGGGTTATGGGGCGTCAAAATCTTATACTGCCCTTGCCCTAAAGACTATCTCAAAGCAATTCCGATGCCTTAAAGATGCAATCTCTGCGCAAATCAAAGCCACGAGCAAGACATTGGGTGAAGATGATTGCTTAGGAGTGAAGGTAGAAGGGTCGAGGCTTAGGTATGTTGACCACCATCTTAGGCAACAAAGGGCACTGCAGCAGCTAGGAATGATTCAGCCCAATGCATGGAGGCCACAGAGAGGCTTGCCAGAACGAGCCGTTTCCATTCTTCGCGCTTGGCTTTTTGAGCATTTTCTTCACCCGTATATTACTTCTTTCTTCAACAATTAGCCTTGTGTTTTGTTTGAGTACTTCAATTTTAGGTATTGTATAAATTTCACATCGACTTATAAGTGCTTCTAATTGTCACCTGCAGCTATCCAAAAGACTCAGATAAAGTCATGCTTGCTAAACAAACTGGTCTGGCTAGAAGCCAGGTATGTTTCATCAAGGATTATCAGCCATACCTACCTTTTAAGGAAAATGCTATTCAAAATTTGAAAAATAATTAATACTTGTTTGATTTCAATTAGTTTTTTTTTGTTTTACCTTATTTTATATATCAATCTATTTTATTAACATTCACCCCATTACTTTTTCTTGTTATACGATATTATCTGTTATATTTATATTGCTTTTTCAGAAAACAATGGTCTTCCTTTTCTTCTTTCTCTTTTTAGGTGTCTAGTAACAGTTAAGTGTTTGTGGATGAATATGATCATATATAATAATCTAAACAAAGAATGAAGATACATTTCAATTTGAAACTAGAAAGAAAGAAAAATTATATATTTTTTATTATTATTATGATAAAAAAAAAAGATATGGATAAAATGTTTAAAAATATACGATATTCATTTATCTTTGTAACATTCTAATAATGAAAATCTGGTTGAGAATTGAACAATGGTGTTTAAGAACAGTTCAAAGGGTAAAGACTAAAGGGATGATTACAAACATAAATTTAACTTATTTATCTTCTTTTCACTTTATTTTATTTTCATTTCTTATTGTTGTCACATTTATTTCGTTCTTTCTCATTTTTTTCCCTTCTTTTGTCACTTTCTTCTTTCACTAAAATAGCGTGATAGTTAATATTTTTCCTATGGAAACATTCCAAAACAACAGTTCCGTATTTTCTCCCTAAATTTAATTTTTTTAACTTGCAAAAACAAATTAAAACTGTATATGATATGATACACTGCCATTTTTATTTCTTTTGGGTTTTTAAACATTTAAAAAATACATCACAAAATAAAAAAGATCAGCATTTGTGGCAATACATATACATATGTTAAAGGTTCCTGATACTAATAAGTTTAATGCAGGTTTCAAACTGGTTTATCAATGCCCGGGTTCGGCTATGGAAGCCAATGGTGGAAGAAATGTACCTGGAAGAAATGAAGGATCATGAACAAGCTAACGGTTCAGAAAATACCAGATCAAAAGAATCGAGCAAGGAGTTGGGCTCAACAGCGAATGTTGAACCAGAATCAGGTGCCATTAAACTAGATAATCTGCAATCAAAACAAGATAGCTACAACAACCAAAACACTTCTCCAACTGAAATCTCAGCAAACTCTTCAATGTCTCCCATCGGGGGGTCCCTTCAATCCCACTCTGGTTTCCATCTTGCAGGATCATCTGACATGCAAAGGAGTCCAAACAAACCAAGAAGTTCGGAAATGCAAAACTCTCCAAGTAGTATCCTCTCAGTGGACATGGAAATGAAGCATAATGGAGAACATGCAAATACTAGAGAAGCCAACGCAAAGTTTGCCATTGAAAGGCACCACAAAGATGGATACCCTTTGATGAATGCCACAAACCATGGCGGAGGGTTTGGAGCGTTCACCGTGGAAGACATTGGAAGCAGATTCAACGTCACTACTGAGCAACTGGCTTCAAGGTTCCATGGAAATGGTGTTTCTCTTACGCTAGGTCTGCCCCACAATGAGAACCTTTCTATCTCAGGAACTCAACATGGATTTCTCTCTCAGAATATTCATTTGGGAAGGAGACTTGAGGTGGGAACGAATGGGAATGAGTTTTGTGCTATCAACACTCCACCTTCGTCTCAATCAGGAGCAACTTATGAAAGCATTGACATTCAAAACAGAAAGAGGTTTGTTGCCCAGTTATTACCTGATTTCGTGGTCTAAGAAGTGATGGCTAGCAAGCTAGAATATTCAAAACTCATAAGGAAAATCTTTCAGTTCTGAGTGTTTAATTTCTCTAGACACTATCATTAACTTCGCGGAAGACTTAGCTTGCTGCTCAAGAAAAAAAAGTGAAGAGGTATATGTTATTTTCACATACACAAGCAGTCACTAATTATGAAATGTACCTTCATTCTGGTATACCGAAATTCCTGGCATGGGAGGGGATGCTTCATCCCTGTAAAGATTGGATAGTAGTATAGGATTATACTTTTCAGAAATTTAAGTTAGCTTAATTATAGGATTCATAAAGTTGGGGAGGGGGTATATATATATATATATTGTATATGGTATTGGATGTAGCCAGGTACGCAGAAGGATTTGAATGATTTCTTTTGATTTCATTATAATTACTTAATTTTATATGTCTGTGTGCACGAGAGTTATTTGGATTTTGTTCTGTACTTCGAAGGATGAAATAATAGTGGGAGACATGCATAAGAGGCAATGCAAGGATATCCGTGAGATGTTGACTCATAAAATAGGGTACGAGAGTTTGAGTCAATGATTTTTCAACTTTTCTTTATTTTATTTCATATATTTCTTTCCCTTTTATCAATATACCAAAATAATGCATAATTTCTCTTTTATTTACTTTTTTTGACACACTAACGATACATTACATGCTTGCAAAAGAAATTAATCCGACCCTTCCCCTTGATAACCCGAAAGCTACTTGAAAATATAATTATAATCTATCTCTTTCCTTCATTTCTTGGTGAAAAAAATGAATTGAGAGGGGTGCTCAGAAGACCTACTACCTGAGACATAATTATATTTTTTAATGTATAAAACAAGCTAAAATTATGTCACATATATATTGTCGAAACCATGTTATAATTTTTGTGTGGGTCGTGAGAAAGCACCTTGGTTGTGAGCACCTAATGCTTTTTATATGATATATAGCATGGCACAGTAATATAGTGGGAAGAAAAAGGAAAGAGTGTGGATCTGATACTCAAACCTAACTTCACACAAGAACGAAGCCAGGTCCCACATGGGTGGAGTTTCTCTTCTAATTATCTTTTATATAAGATTGACATTAAATGACCGATTTCAGGTCGTGTTGTGTCCCGTGCATTAGTGAATCTATTATTTTGTTCTCCATCTTTACATGCTGTTTTAATTCTTCTTCATGTCATCATTTAATTCTTCTTTATATCATATCCTCTTTTGCTGGTAGGCATATTAATTATCATTTGTAATATATAGGATGCATGTTTATTTTTTACAGAATAAAAACTTATACTAGATAATGTTTTTAATAAATGAGTTATATTGTAATTAAAATTCATAATAAACAAACTTAAATGTAAAAATTACATTTAGAAGTTAGGAATAAAAATTTAATTTAATTATTGATAACTTAAAAAAAAAACAAATTTAATCGAGATATAACTTATAGAGATACATAGGTTAAACGGAATAAAGAAATGAAATATACAACAACAAAAAATACCTAGGTACGAAAACTAGGTGAAATGTACATTTTTTTAAAAAGTTATAGAATAAATAAAAGAACACAGAGAATAAGTCTCATCCTCTAATTAAGTTATATATGTATTCTTATATATAATATAAGATAAATATTTATTTTCTATAACTTTTCTATCGTAAAAAATAAATACAAAATTAAATGAATCGTCTAAGTTTAAACAAGTATGTATTTGTCATCTTCACTGAATAAAAAAATGAAAATTTATTATATAAACTTATGCATGGGAAAAAGTTGAAGAATAAATAATGTGTTTTGAGAGGTGTAACTCGAAATGTTAACATATATTTTGTTTGTTTTTCATCTTACTTTTGCATTTCTTTTACTATTATATCATTTATCACTTCTATACAAAAATTCTTTGTTTATTTTTTTTCTATTACTTTTTTCTTCCACACATGCTGAATATCTTTACTCTAATTTTATTAACCACAACTTGGTGGTAAATATAAAATTTTCTATTGTGAACATACATAAAAAGTGATATATTTTTATCTAGAATTATAAATTTACCATTTAATTTTTTTCAACTCTTTTAGTAAAATAAAATATTTTTACCATTTATTTTATAGAAAACCAAGAATTAGAAAATTAGTAAATTAATGATCGTAGAATTATCAATAAAATATAAATACTTAAACAAATCAAACATCATCTAATGTTTTCTATTTTGATTGGAAGAGTCCTCTTATAGAATTATGACGAAGACTCAATTTATCCCGAGATGCATTCTAATTTTAACAAAGCATTTATTGTTTGATCAAAATTAGAGGATATGTTATTATGACAAATATTATAATAAAAAAATATAATTTAAATAAAGTTAATTTTTGTCACATGATTATTGTAAATAAAACATTATTTTGTGTACAACATCAAATTTTTATGTCTTTTTTTTTATCTATTGTTACAATTCAAATTTATCTTGTGTTTTTTTGTTCTCACTCTTTTACTGTGTACAAATTATTCCATAATTTTTTTGTAAGGTAATATTTCTCAAAATTTATATATAAAAAGTTCGTAATGGAAATGGGTTAGAAGGAATGGACTCAAAATGGAACACATACACATGCTTGTGGAAAATGGGGTGTCTCCAAGTTCGCAAGTGATTTTAGTTCAGCGTTTTTATTGATGGGCTTTGGAACACTGTTTTGGGTCTTGGGGTAAACTGGGCCCTTCGAAAATTGAAACCGAAAATTTTAATTCGCTTTTGGTTTCACATAAATATGATTTTGTTTCTGTTAAATGATCAATTTTTCTTTTTAATAATTTTTTAAACTTTTTCACCCCTATTATAATTTTATTTTGTTTTTTTATCACAAAGTACTTTAGATAGAAATTTGAACGATGAAATGACTTAGATAACACATAGGGAAACAAAAATAAAAAATATCGAGGACATCAAATTAAAAATATTAATAGGTAATAGGATCATAAACGAAATTTGATAATTTATCAAATAACAACAACATATCTAAGCTTTTGTGCTTATAATTACATATCCATGAAAAATAAAACTTCTAATTAGTAATCAGTTAGAAGTTTACACACCTTCTAAAGTGCGTGGCAGAAGAGTTGAAAGGGAAGTTTTCTCAATGTATTCTTTAATTTGTATTTTAAATTTTATATTAAATAAAAAGTATATATAACCGTAACAAGTAAGTTTTATTAAATAATACTAATACTATAATGATAATAATATTGTATATTATTTATAAAACTTTATTTAAAATTAAAACAAAACTATCTAATTTCGCACAAACTTATGAGTATATCACTTTGCAGATTTCACAGTCCTTCTTAAGTTTAATGTAAGTAACAGAGTTGTTCATTTTTCTGGTTTTGTTTTCTTTTCATTTTTTGTTTGATATTCCTCTTTCTGAATTGTATTATTACACTTAAAGGAAATTGAAATTTTGGAAAGGATTTTATACTAATGTGTACTTTTTTACAATATCTAAAATTTTGTGTATTTGAAAATTAAAAGGTTCATATTTTGTATTTAAATACAATAAAAAAAATAACAAAAATCTGGAAATATTTTTTAAGTTTTTTTTTGTAAATCTTGATCTTATTTCGTAAAATATGAAGTTAATTTGTTGTATTCAAATATATTAAAGTACGTTTAAAACATTTTCTCACAATTATTTCTTCTTCTAAACATAATATTAATTCTATCATTTTCATTGTTTGTTTACTAAAAATTGTATTATTAGTATTTTCTGTTCTATTTAGAATAAGAATGAACAAAAATACTGATTGATATATATATATATATATATATATATATATATATATATATATATATAATGTAAAAATAAATTTCGATTAGGTGATAAAAGGAAAATAAATAATGTGAAAAATTTAGAAAATATAAATTATTTTACTTAAGATTAATTCTCGTAAAGATATTATTCATTTTTGAATTAAGAAGGTGTGTAAATTTATAATGAATTAAGAAGGTGTGTAAATTTATGTGGAATTTGTTACAAAATATTTATATATTTAAATTTTAAAAAATATATAATAAAAAAAATTCATTCGTGTCATGCCGTCCAACTTAAACTAAAAATAAATCACTGTTAACAACGACACTCTCTCCTTTGAATATTTAACATAAATATATAATTATAGAGTTCAAATTTGAAAGTACTTGTTGAACTAAAATGATCATGTCAATTACTCTCACTGGTCTCCTTTTGTGACTGCTTATAAATTTTTTTTTTTCCTCTCTCCCTATTCTCAATCTCATGAAGGAGGAAAACTACATTATTTTATGTTAACTCGATTAAAACACATTAAAAAAAATAAAAATAAAGAGCCATTGTTCTAGAACGAATATATCATATATTCAAAAGAATTAAAGAGCCATTATTCCAGAACACATAATTTATAAAGAATACACGCTGTATAAATTTTTATAATTTTTCGATCATAATTTAAATTTTATTTATAATATCCGCAATAATAATAATAATAATAGAAGTTGATATTAAATATAAATAAATAAAATATTAAATTATTGAATCTATAAAAATAATAATAATGCATAGTGATAAATTACAATAAACTTTTACATTAAATATAAACAAAAATAAGAAAATAAATTATTGAGTGACAAATTATCGTGCCAACGTAAGTTTGAATTCAAACTCAATCTATTACATCTTTGAAAGTTCCACCCACTAATTTTAGGTGTAAGCCGGCGTTATACGTAGCTCACTCTCGAAGTTGGGTCCAAATAAAATATATATCATCCACCATGCATATAATTTTATTAAATGTTATTTATTGATTGTAAGCATCACCAAGTTTGAAACTTATTTTGTCTTTCTCTCACTTTTTTGTGTGGATATCTTTCTCCCTTGAAAAAATTATGTCACTACCCATATCAACCCATCAAGCTGCACTATTAGCCGCCAACTTGATTCGTAGCACCAATGGCAACATCAAAAAAATAATTATTATTTAAGTATCTTTATTCAGTGACTCTAATCCTACTCTGGAACATCTCAGAATCAATTATCTCCATGTTAAAATTATATTTACAATTCATACTTTTAATTTTCTGCAACTCATCATCCATTCTCGTATTAATAGATAAACATTACATTATTATTAAGATTAATGTAACAAATTTGAATTATCAATGTCAACTTTCTTGGTATTATTCAGAAACTAATAACTAATGATAAAATATAACCACATAAGGATTTTTTTTCCAGTATAACTTCTTTCTCAAATATGTATTAAAGTTTTAATAAATAAATTTGAATAATGTTTAATTTCATGTAGTGTAAAGATTAATTTAAATAATATGATTTAGAATTATCTAATAATTTATATGGAGAGAGCCAGAGAGTTCATGCGTCTAGAATTCAAACACCGTCACATCATAGTGTTTCAAACTATTGTTGCTAGGTTTGACCATCCTCACCAATGCTCATATGCATCAAGACAAGTAAAAATATATATATATATATATATATATACGCGACAGTCATCACCAAAAAACATATTCATCAGAAAGTCTTTTGCTCTGTGGCCAACACACATACAACAAGATTTATATAATACCAGTGTTAATCATCATTCCGGACTTTATACTCAGTAAAGCCGAATTCTCTTACCAAAGAAACAAACCCTTTTCTTCTTCCGCTTTCTTTTCTTTCTTCAGACACCCCCACCAGAGAAAGAAACTTATCACATTTCTTATGCTAAGTTTTCATATGGATAAATATTAGTGGTTAATAAGAAATTTGAATCCACCACTTATCCTTCCTCTTATTCCACTTTTACTACCAAATCAACCTTATATTTCCCATTTCTTATGCTGTGTATCTGATTATCTGATACAATGACAGAAGTTGAAATTCCTCAGTTTTTTGCTTGTCCCATTTCGCTTCAGATCATGAAGGACCCAGTGACAACCGTTACGGGTATAACCTACGACAGAGAAAGCATCGAACACTGGTTGCTGAAAGCGAAAGATTGCAGGTGTCCGATCACAAAGCAACCATTGCCACGAAACTCAGAGTTCTTAACCCCAAACCACACGCTTCGGAGGCTAATCCAAGCGTGGTGTTCAGCTAACGAGGCAAACGGTGTTGACAAAATTCCAACACCGAAATCCCCTCTTAGCAATGCCAACGTCGAAAAGTTCGTGAAGGATCTAGAAATTCCTCGACGTTTTCAAAACGCAATGATGAAGTTGCATAACCTTGCAGTAGAGAACGAGAGGAACATAAGGTGCATGGCTTCAGCGGGTGTAGCAGAAGCTATGGTGCACGTGATCACAAATCGTTTCAGGCAAGACAAAACGGCGTCGTGCGTTGAAGAGGCTCTGAGGATTCTTCGTTTGCTTTGGAGTAGTGCCAATGTGGTGGAGAAAAACCACATGAAGAGCTTGGTGGGTCAGAACTGTGACTTTCTGAACTCGTTGACTTGGGTTTTGCAGCTTCAATCTAAGAACAACGTCAAGGTAATAAACGAAGCAATGCCTATATTGAAATTGACAATTGAAGCCAAAGATTCAACCCCTTTAGGGAGCTTAAGGCTTGAATTCTTCAGAGTGATTGTGAGTGTGATGAAAAATAGAGAACTCTCTCAGCAAGCTATTAAATCTGCATTGCATGTGCTCATAGAAACGTGTCCTTTTGGGAGAAATAGAACGAAGATAGTGGAAGCAGGTGCGGTGGAGGAGCTCATTGAACTTGCACTTGAAAAACCAGAAAAGAATCTAACAGAACTCGTGTTCATCCTTTTGGCGCATCTGTGTTCCTGTGCTGATGGTAGAGAACAGTTTCTGCAGCATGCTGCAGGCATTGCTGTAGTTTCCAAAAGAATCCTTAGGGTTTCTCCAACCATCGATGATCGAGCTCTTCATATATTTTCCTTGATTTCAAAGTTTCAGCATCTAATGAAGTTGTGCAAGAGATGCTGAGGGTTGGTGCTGTGTCAAAGCTTTGCATGATGCTTCAAGCAGATTGTGCTTCCTATTTGAAAGAAAAGGCAAGAGGTGTACTTAGGTTACACTCCAAAACATGGAATAATTCTCCCTGTATTCAAGTATATTTGCTAACCAGATTCCAAAGGTGATTGATTAATTGAAGCTCCAAATCCCTTTTTGTTTTGGGTTCTTTTTATACCCTTCATTTTTCAGCCTAGTTTGTATCAAACCAAGTGTACAATTCGGAGAAAGAATTGAACTTTTTCATAGCCTATATGAAGATTTGTTACATAATTCAAGCTAACCTAATTTCAACTAATCTTAATGATATGATATATAATCAAGCCTCGACAATTCATTATATAAAATAATATAATTAATTATACATGACAAAAAATTAATCGGAATCATATTGGTTCAAACTTTTAATAGTTTCTGTTGTGTTAGTAGGTAGTTGTTGTACACAGTAACACAGTTGACAATTTTCTGTTTAAAAAAGGAGTTCATTGATTACCTTAAGGACGGTTGACCAGAAGCCGACAACTATGACAAAAATGGTGGCTATAAAGATTAATTTGGCAGCATGAAATAGTTTGAAAGCCAGAAGCCAAATCGCATTTCAATATTGATCAATCAGGTGGAATTTTACATGTGCTTTAATTATATAACCTCTTAACTTAGTGATTCTGAGTGAAATCTGGTACGTTCCTTCTCTTGCATATTTCTTTCTAATAAGTATTATGAGCAATGGGGTTAGAAAAGGGGTCAAGTCCAATTGTTTAAGGAAAATGGTCGGATATAAATGTTGGATTCTAAAAAACTATGATTTTATTTAACCTAAACTGTAAACAACTCAAAAATTGTTTTATACTATATATTTGGCTTAACAAATACTCCTTATGACAACAAATATATAGCATTACTCATTTCTTGTATAAAAATGACTGAAAATGGTATGTTTCAAGAGTCTAGTATACAAATATTTGATTACTTTGAATGCAATTGAATTCGGGCATTTTAAATAAGCTCTGAGATTGAGGATTTGTTAATTGAGAAGAGAAATCCATTAAAATTATTAATTACTCTAATAAAAAATAGTTATCATCGATATGGTAATACAAACGAAAATATAAAGTTATAAAAATTAGAATGTAATGATAAATTTATATTATTCATGTATTGAATTAATCTTAAAAATAATATATTAAAAAAATTACTCAAATAGAATTTATGTAAATTTATTTACTCAAATAAACTTATTTACTTTTTACGTAATTTTCTTCCATTTTCTTATAATTTTACTTTTATTTTTTCTCTTTTTTCATTCACTTTTTATATTTCTCTTTTCTATCTTAAGTCTTTTATTTTTTTCTCTCTCCCCCTTATACATACTCTAATTAAAATATTATATTAAAATTTAATAAAAATAGGTTAAATCAAATATTTAAAAACAATGATAAAACTAAAAAAAATATTAACTAAATATTTAAAATTAAGATAATAATAAATAATTTTATTTATTATTATAACAAATAATTTTATTTATGATGAAATAAATAATTAATTTAAAATTATTTTATCATAATAAATAATTATTTATCTAATTAAAAAAATATTATTTATTAATATAATCTAATTATAATTAGGTTCAGTATGATAATTAATTAGATTATGTAATTTTAAAAAATATTTATTAACAAAATTTCAAAATAAATATTTAATTTTTTTCTTAATAATTATAATATAATAATACTATTTATAACATCTCAAATTTATTATATAATATTTTTTTTATTATATAATATATTAAATTATAATATTTTTGTATTATTTGAATATTTTAAATTTTCACTAATAATAAAAGGTTAATGTTATCAAATTTCAATCTATTATTTTTAATTAAAAAATAAGATAAATGAGAGAAAAGAAAATAAAGAGAAATAATAAAATAAATGAAAAAAATCTGGATTATGTCAAACGAATTTACTCTTTTTATTAAATTTTGTATATTAATATTAAACCTGTCTAATTGAATAAATAAATTTAAAACAATTTAAAAAAATTTGTTTTAAATATATTATTTATGACATTAATTATCATGTAATCGTGAAATTATTTAAATTCAAGAAGTAAACTCATCTTAGTCCATGCCTTAACCTACGAAAATTTATTTAGTGATATTATTAGTACATCATTATAAAAAAAATGAAATATTTATACATTATTGACTAACCACTGTTAGTGGATTTTCTCTCTCAAATACTATTTGTTTGACAAATCTGAATCTAATTACGTAGACGACTAACTACGCAATTGTAACAAATGTTTTTTTTTTTTTTAATTGCTAACCTCAACTAATATAAATATATCAATTCATATATATATATATATATATATATATATATATATATATGTGTGTGTGTGTGTGTGTGTATGTATATATCAATTTAAAAAACTATAAATATTTCATTCATTGCATATATATAATTATTATACTTGAAATTTAAGTTAACTTTATTAATATAAATCAAATTTAAAAAAATATATTTATTTTAAATTATTTATAATAGATCATGGTTCTTAGCTAAAGAAAAAAAAGTCTTTGTTAAGATAATAAAAACTAATTAAATCATTTTAAATTATTTATCGAAATTGAATTTAATATATATGGTATGACTAAATTAAATAGATATTGGAATAGAAGTCTTAGACATAGAGAGGTCGGGATACATCTTGAATTTCTCTTTTCAATCTTTGATGTCTTGAAGTTTCTTGATTACTCTCACTCAAAATTTTTTGTATGAATCTCCTGTCATAATGCTACTAAAATTGGTACAATATATACATTAGATGATCGTATGCAATATATACGATCCAAATAATTTAGGTAATAATTCATTCATCCATTAATATTTAATTATATATATTATGAAAACAGGTTATTGATTGATCTCTTCCCAATAAATATTTCTTCTTACGTGTGATCTAATTAATATTAGACTTATTTTCAACATCTTGATCTTTTCAATAACTTGCATCTTAAATCTTCGATAAACGTTGAAATATATTTTTGTCCATGAGGTAACAATAATTTAAAACTATTTTTAGACATAACTTTAATAAATTGTGTTGTCTTATTCTATTATTACAATTATTTATTCTTATATTTTGACTTGTCATAACGTGTGAAAAAACATGTATTAAATATTTTATATTAATTAAATCATAATCAAATTATAAATATATATATATATATATATATATATATATTATCTTTTATAAATTGTTGGATAAAATTAAATCAAAGTAAACATTGATTAAAACATAATTATGGCGTGTTTGTTTCCTGTATATTAAAAATAACTTTTAGTTTTATATTTTTAAAATTAAAAAATTTGTTATTTTGTTAATTTTTTTAGTCTTTAAAACTATCAAAAAATTTGATAAAATCTGTTTTATGATATAATTTTATTTTTCATTAATAATTATTAATATTTTATCCAATAATTATATTAAATTACTTATTTTTATTAATATAAGATTATGAAAATAATGTTTTAACTTTCGTCATAAATTTTTTATGATAATTCATATTATTTTTTATTTAAAATATTTTTTAAAAATATAATTATTAAACAATTTCTTTTACCAACTTATTAAAAAAATAATTTATAAATTTTAAAACTAAAAAAATAAAACTAAATCAAAGAATACCTAGGTAAATAAGTTGTATAAGAAAGATAGTTGAAAGAAGATTGGTTTGAGAGTAAAAAGATGATCAGCGTCAAACTTTCTATAGTTGACTCCACCAAGCCTTATCTCTCGTCTCATCAAATATAAAGAATCACTGTTTTATTTATTAATTATTCATATTCTTATATACCAAACATTAATATCCATTATTCCTTTGTTGTGGTCTATATTTTCTTAAATTAATTTACATTTCAACTCTATCTCTGTTCATCGATCAGAATTTAGCCCATTAAAATAAAAATGAATTTGAATAATTCACGGAAAACAATGGATGAGTATGATATAATATATTTCAATACACAATAAAATGTTGAGTAAATAAGATTATTAAATAAATACCTTCAACCATAAGACTTTTTCTTTTCTGAAATTGAAGAAATAGACCATATATATATATATATATATATATATATATATATATATATATATATATATATATATATATATATATATATATATATATTAACGTGAGTTATTTGAATTTTCTTATAATATCTTTCATTAGAACAAAATTAAGCATATATTACTTTCCAATAATGTGACATTATAAAAATCACAAATTATGTTTATCAAATTAACGAAAGTCATATAAATCCTTCCAATTATATATTGAAAATAATTTATTTATTTATTTATTTATTTGAAAAATTTGCCACATTTAGAAAAATAATAACTGATACAGCTACACCTAACACTCTTTTGAATTTCATCGAACATTAATTTCACTAGGACATAAACAAGTTTCACTACATCTAATTTAATTTGCTAAATTCAATTTAGATTTTAATCAATATACTAAATTATATTTGCATTGAATAACTGATTATAAATTTATAAATTTGACTCAACTCCAGGACATAATAAAAAATTTATTAATATAATTTTTTTATCTGATCAAATGAGTATTATTTATTTATGTATAATAATATTATCTTATCATTATTAAAAATATTTATTTGAGGCATTTTTTAATATATAATTGTTTAAAAATTAATCAATTCATCGGCTGGGTTGTTAAATATATAAAAAAATCGATCTATCTCTACTAATCTAATTAAAATTAACTTATATAGAAGTTAAAAACATTAAAAAATTATGTAATCTAAATTAGTTAATACACAAGTTACCTTTAATTTATTTATTTTTTATATTTTTCTCTCTTGTAATTTTTTTTAACATATTTTGAACTTAATTGTTTTGAATTAAAAATTATATTTAAATTTAATTTTTCTGTACAAGTCATAGTCAAATTTACAATAAATGATGACATCCCTTTCTTTACTTTTGGTCCCATAAAATAAATTGAAGTAATTGAACCTTTACTTTTCCTTGTCAATGTTTGATTGCAGTATCTCAAAAGATGAATGAGCCCTTCCATTTTTTTAATTTTTATTGCGTTGGCATTTTTATAAAACCATATTGAAAGAAATTGTTCAAATTTTATTTTCCTTATTTTGTTATATTATTTATTATATTTTATTTTCTTCTCTTTTTTACCACCAAATGAATCATTAAGTTAAAATTATTATTAAATAATATGTGTAAATTTAAATCTCACATTAAATAAAAATAAAAAAATTGAATCTATAAATTAAAATTATTATTAAATAATATATGTGAATTTAAGTCTCACGTTAAATAAAAATAAAAAATTAAATAATATACAATAAAATAAGATATATAATTTAATAATTTAAATTTTTTTTAAATGTGAATCCCTTACTTAAATAATATTTAATTCAAAATTTTTATCTTTAAAATAAAAAATTAGATTAAAAGAAATACATATTTTGAAAAAAAATTCAAAAAAAAGTTAAGCATTTTTATTTTCACGAATTTGTCAAAATAGAAAAAAAAATATAAATTAATGCAAATCCTAAAATTACATTAACGAATGCTCTTATTTGATTTATTTTAAGCTAAAATTCTCATATCTATAACACTTGCTCACAAAATTCTCATAACATTAAAGAATGTTTAAGAAAAAAACTTTTTATTCAAGCGAATAATGCTTCGTGACAAAAAAAAGTTATATTTTATTGGATCAATCATAAACATTTCTATAAATGTTTGTACACTTAGGAAGTGAATATTTCATGTTTGGTTACACTAAAAGCTTACATTGATACATAATTGTGTTTTTCTTTCACAAATATCATTTTGTTTGAATATATTTGATGGATAAAATTAAATATAAAAATAAATTATTCCAATAATAACTTTAAAATATATAATTTTTCATCATCATCATACGGAGTAATATTAAATAATTACTTTTGGATCAAATTATTTCAAAAATAATTTTTAGAGAATTGCTTTATATTCTCATAATTTATTTTTTATAATTTAATGGTAACGAATAAAACATCATTCACTATTAAATTAGAAAAAGTAAATAATGTGAATAAAGAAAAAGAATTTAAAAGTTATTTTTGTAATCATGTTGATCAAATAGTTCTATTTATACCAGGGGGCGGCGGTTACCTTGAATGGGTCAATGTTTGGGCCCAGACGTGGAATGCTTAATCAACGGAAACGGAATCCGACCCAGTGGTTGACTAAGTTGGGGCCCAATAACCAACCAATGAAGTTTTGGGCTTAATTCAAATCTTGTATCCTACATCATGGACTTGGCCATTTCAAACAACTAACACGTGAAAGAAATGAATACAGCAACTTCTCCCATGTCAACCCTCGTGTGGTGAGTATGACCAAAACAAAACTTGTATTCATCTTCTTGATTTTTAAATATGTAGTATTATGTTGTACATAAATAAATAAATAAATATATATATATATATATATATATATATATTCATACAAAATAACAAATATTATATCAAATGCTTTAGTACTGAGTTTTCAAAAACTTTTTTCTAGAATATTATTGTGTATTTATTATGAAACTAACATTAGAATTTTAGTTTTCTTTTATTTCATTGAAGGTTATATTCTAATATATTCAAGAGTTTTATATTATTTAGAAGTTGAAAATGATGATAATTTATGTATATATTATTCTCTTTCAACTTACTTCAATAACTTTTAAAAATAAATATAACATTAGAATTTTAGTTTTCTTTTATCTCATTGAAGGTTATATTTTAGTATATTCAAGAGTTTTATATTATTTAGAATTTAAAATATATAATATCTCAAATATAATAATTAATCATAATAATATTATTATAATGATATTCAATTTTATACTTGTTTTATATAAATTAAACTAAAATGTTTATTGAAAATAATTTATCTTAAAAAATCGAAAAGTGGGTGTAAATTAATATAAATTTCACTAAAAATATAAAGTATTTTAATTTTTAGAAATGAGGTAATAATAGAAATATGTGAGTATTAATCTTAATCTTTGTTTTCTCCTTTCACTCGTTGAAGAGCACCAGTAATATTTTTAGCACCATAACATAATATTTATAAATTAGAATACGTAACTATAAGCAACTATAGCAGTTTGAGAAAAAGTTTTTAGGTCTGAGTCCAAGAAATCTATCCAAATTAACTCATGATTCAATGGTTTTCAGAAATATTTAAAAAATGTTGATTAGCAATATTCTCACAACGATAAGTGAACTCAAACTATCATCTTTATCATGAGATATATCCTTTTTCGCAAATGTTGGCACAGAGGGCTGTGAAAGGATGTTTCATTGTATAGAGTTGAAGAACATATTTTGTAAAATATATATATATATATATATATATATATATATATATATATATATACTAGAAAAAAACCTATTATTTATGGATAAAAATTTGTAGGTAAATTATATTAAATTAAAAGAATTATCACTAACAAGAATTGAACTCAATACTTTAGAGTTAAAGACTGATACTCAAACAACCAAACTATTAAGATATTTTGATAATAATTTATAAATAAATTACATTTATATTTATTCGTGTAAATATATAAATATAACATATATAAATATAACATATATAAATATAAAATATATAAATATAAAATGTATAAATATAAAATATATAAATATAAAATGTATAAATATAAAATGTATAAATATAAAATGTATAAATATATAAATATATAAATATATAAATATATAAATATATAAATATATAAATATATAAATATATAAATATATAAATATATAAATATATAAATATATAAATATATAAATATATAAATATATAAATATATAAATATATAAATATAAAATATATAAATATAAAAATATAAAAATATAAAAATATAAAATATATAAATATATAAATATAAAATATATAAATATAAAATATATAAATATATAAATATATAAATATAAATATATAAATACAAAATATATAAATATAAAATATATAAATATATAAATATATAAATATATAAATATATAAATATATAAATATATAAATATATAAATATAAAATATATAAATATAAAATATATAAATATAAAATATATAAATATAAAATATATAAATATATATAAACATATATATATTTGTATTTATATATTTTATATTTATATATTTTATATTTATATTTATATATTTTATATTTATATATTTTATATTTATATTTTATATTTATATTTTATATTTATACTTATAAATATAAATATAATATATTTGTAAATTATTATCAAAATATCTTAATAGCTTAGTGGTTGGAGTATCAGTTTCCAATTTTAAGGTAATTGGTTTGATTCTTACCAATGATAATTCTTTTAATCCGATAATAAAAAATAAGGGGTTGTAGTGTAAATAAAAATATTTTTCTCGGATAATAAATCAAAGTTCTAAAAATATAATATAAAAGGAAGGAAGTCCTAAGTAATAATAAAAAATAAGGGATTGTAATAAATAAAAATATTTTGTTCAAGCGAGTGCATTATCTACGACCGGATTTCTTACGAAAAAGAATCTGTAGGTAAAATGACATTATCTATGGATTTTTGTCATTACCTATGAATTTTTACCCGTAAATAATAAACTTTTTTTAGTGATATATATATATATATATATAAAATTTATGTTATCACTTTTCATTATTACTTTGAACTATGAATATTACCAAAACAGATAAGAAAAAAAATCTGTATATGTTCTTCCATTTGATACGAGAACAAATTTGGCTTTCTTAATATTACTTATATGCATCTTCTTAGGAAACAAAATTGCAGAAACAATATATTTATAAGGACATTTATAGGCTCAAGTTAACAATAATTCAACAAAAATGATAGTTAATTAATAGATGCATATGTGCTATTGATAGTGACATTGGTATCTAGTTATTAACAATATATATATCATTTATAAACCAACCCACCCTTTTAAGTAACGAATGAAATTTATACTTGACAGCAACTAGTAGCTAATTATTATATCAACACTACATTTTGTCTGTTAAAAATGAAATAAAAACTTACATTTTAAGTCTGTCTATTTAAAAAGTATTATTGAATAGATTACGTCAACTTCTTAAATTATTTAAAAATTTATGGTTAATTAATACCACTGTTTAGATCAGTCCAATGTTCAACATAAATTTATCCAAGGATTTTTCCCGTTCCATAACTATGTGATTCATTTGTATAATTTCAAAACCTCTGGCACCAGACACTTTCATCAGATGCATGTACACACAAAAAAAATAAAAAATAAAAAATAAAAAAGCATTAGATCAAGGATAGGAAGATAACAAAGGTACAGGAATACATGGAGAATTCTTCCAAACTGAGGAGTGCAATTTGAGTATCTCCTTGGCCCTCTCTTTAGTCTTGAAACCGCAATTCACTTGAAGCACCAAACACAACTTGGACACAGCCCCAACCTGCAACATTTCTTGAAGGACTCTAGAATTGGCCGAATACCTACAAATGGAGGTCAAAATTCTAACACCTCTATCACTTGCCACGTGAGAGACCCTTAGAATTTTCTTGGATACAATGGCCACTCCTGCAGCATGGTTCAACAACTCTGCACGCCCTTCTGCACACCCACAAAGTTGATCCAAAGCTATTAAAATGAGTTCACATGTTCTTCTTTCCGATGCACCAATAAGTAGCTCAATGAGGACGGAAACTGCACCACCCTCAACCCCTTTGATCCTGTTTCTGCCCCACGGAAAGAGCTCCACAATCAGCTTCAATGCAGCCTTTGAAGCCTGTTGTGAAATCTGATCACGCAACACGCGCAAGATTTGCACAAACAACACTGTTTTGACACTGATCAATTGGATAGGATCAGCCACCTCCAATGCTGATCTAAGTAGCATGGTTGCATAAGCTCTAGATTGGTAGTTTCCAAGCCTCAACACCTGAAACAATGACTCAATAAACTGAAACCCCTCGTTATATATGAGAGCTTTAAGCTGAGACTCAGAAAGGTTGAGGTGGAATAAGACTTCAATAGCTGCTTCACTGAGAACAGTTGAGTTTTCTTCTGTGTTGTGCTTCATGGTTGAGGCTAAGAATTCTACCACTCCTGCAGACTCTAAACAGGTTTTGTTCCTTTGACCCTCAAAGGCAATAGATCGAAGCCTTGTGAGGCATTTGAGTTGCTTCTCTGGGAACCTCTTTGCTTCTGTGAGGAGTTTCACAATCTGAGTTCTGTCTACTGGTGACTTCGGAGTTGGAATGCGTTCAACTCCAAGTGAGGCATTGAGGGTGCACCAAGATTGAATCAACCTGCGTAGAGTGTGATTTGGCGTGAGATCATGGTCCAATAGGCACAGCTTGGTAACGGGGCATGTATTGTTCTTGCATGAAAACAACCATTTCTCAATGTTCTCTCTATCATAAGTGATTCCAGTGCAAACAGTGACAGGGTCTCTCATGAGTTGGAGGGAAATGGGGCAGAGGAAATGGGCAGGGATTTCAATTTCATCCATGCTGTGAAAGGATGGAAATAGAATCTCCCAAACTGAAAAAGGAAAAAATGTAACAGCTTGATACAAACAAAAGTTGGGTTTGATCTTTTAGTTATGTCACAAGAAGGATGAGATAGTATTAGCTAGAAATGTGAAGAGTGTAGAGAGTTGAATGGGGATAAGAAGTCAAATTTGTGAATTGCTGGGAAGAAGTAGCTGCTTCTGGTTGTGGCACATTTAGTTGTGTCATGAAATTTGTGGTAGAGAAGGTGCGAATTTTAATACAAGTTGTTAAAAACGATAAAGTCAACACACGGAAATTGAGAGAGATGGGGAGGGTGAATTAATAAGGGTCTTTTCCAAGGTTTGGGAAGGAGAAAAGGTTTGTGTTATATAATATTAGAAGTGACTTGTATGAGCTTCGATATGTGGGTGATATGTAAATGATGAATTGTATACTAATTGTAAGGTGTTGAGGGAGTTAACGTCGGTGTAGCAAATTGCAATGCTAAGAAATAAAGCCTGATATGGAGGCTTTTGACTTCCACTTCTACAATAAAAAAAAAGTATTATTTTAAAGGGAGATACCCATTATTTTGTATTTGATCTCAGAGAAGACCTTAATGCTTGCATGGTTGTTGCCGACAACTTCTGATGAGGCTCATGCATTTTGCCATGATTGGATGCTTTCTCACGCTTTTCTCGGCTCCATCCATTAATGCTTTCTTTCATTGTTTCCTCAGAAACGTGTTGTTGGGACCTGGGGTTCTAGGAATTGCTTAGCTAAGGGCTATTGTTACGTTTCTTGTTCGGAGTATTACTAATTGGAAAAACATTACTAATTTAAATTATTTTAACTTCATCAATAACTTTCGTAATTAAATTTACCAAATAAATTCTTTTGCGGTAAGAATTTGTTAAACAGTTAATTGACATTTAAATCACGCGCAAGTAGAAAGAAAATGTTCTTTTTGTACCAGTTTTCAAATACGGTGTTCCTTTCGAAATTTGCAGGCCCCAGCCTATATATATCTTGTGGTCTTATTAAATCGACGGCACTAAATGGCTCCAAACACAGTCAAAGACAGAACGTAGTTTAAATAAATAAAAAATTGTTCACATTTTGCATATTCAACAGGTACAACTAAGATTTCAATTTTTTGGGGAATTATTTTCCAAAAATAGGTATTTCGGGCAAAAATGAATACGTAAACACTGGAATGGAATCACGCACTCCTGAATAAAAACTATGAGAAACGACACATTATTATTTTCTAGGGAATGAGATACGCAATCTCTTTAATAGGGTTAAAATGCCTCCACATATTTTAATACAGTTGTCGCTTGCATTGATAGAACTGTATGAACCTTTTCTAACATTTCGACCAAATTTTTTTTTCCTACACAATACCATCATGTTTTCGAAAAACGTTAAGATTAAAGAAACCAAAGCATTGCTTTGTTAGTTTTTTTTCTCGTAAATAAGTTTATATAAAATACAAGTCAATTTTGAAGATCTGATCTAGAAATCCATGTGCTACAAAATTATGATTATCCTCATTCACATGGCACTAGAAACATCGTGCCAGCGTTGGACTAATACTATTTCAAAGATGATTACCAGTTTCACACAGTTCCAAATACACATTTACGACCAAAATAACAAATTAATCAATAAAAAAAATATTGGCTTAAATCTAAAGCAATTAGTTAATATGTTTTTACACTACTGTCATTTATTTTTGCTGCATTATTATGTTAAAAACACTGATCTATGATAACATTAATTATCATAATCATTTTAAAGATATAGTATAGCATCCCATAAATGATTATATATAGAAAATATACACACCCTAAATCAAAGTTGACGTGGATGAACTCTGAAACATTAAATACAACTACTGGTAATTTGCACAACCTAGGTGAAGACAATGAATGGAGACGGCAGGGTGCCGCAAAAGTAACTTCAAAAATGGATTGCCATCAAATTATTATATAGAGCCACATTTTGTAGTTAATGTACTTTGTGTTTAGGTGATTTTATTTGATAGATACGTTGAATTGTGTGGAAATTGAAACAGTGAACGGTCAAAGAGAGCAGCGATTTAGCTAAGATGAGGATATGACCTATCAAGGAATTATATATTCCACTGCTCAATTTGTTTGAGCTGTGAACCTCGTGATCGTAATGACCACAATTTCATTCTTATATTATTTTATAACAAGCTAACAAATTAATATACGCATTAACACTGTCAGAACTCAGAACCGGCAGGTGCAGAGACCAGGAATGGATATTGATAAAGGAAAATTATATATTTGAGGTATAGAAATTCATATATTGAAAAATTATCGTACTTTCTTATTGTTTGATTCATGCTTCCCATATCCCTCTCATTAATGATTAATAAAAATTACCAGTGTTTTCTATAGGTTCCTTTTCAAAGATTTTTAAGAAGCGCAAGTTACACTTTTTAAAAATAAAACCAATTAAGCTTTGATAAGACAACATGCTCAATTATACATCATTGTCAACAAGAACTATAAATTAGAAACTTTTTTTTTTTTTTTCATTTCCATTCTTTAAATAAGTTCACTGATGAAGAATATTTTTTAGTATAATTTAATTATGTAAAGTCAGATCTGTACATGAGATATATTACAGATGTAAATGTTAATCTAGACTTTAGACATGACTCAGACGTATCATAGTCTTGTATAACTTGGTTGCCACCATCAATTTTACTTTTCATCTTGTTGGTCATGAAAATTCTTAACAGGGAGGTTGTGAAGATTAAAAGGTAAGGGATTGCATTTGGATTGTTAATACAAAAAACAAGCTTTCTTCATTTTTAAAATTTTGGAAACAGAACCCACTGGGATCGGCCTAATGGTGGGTAGGGGGTTTGAGTATCACGCAAGAGATCTTAAATTCGATTATTTATACCATCTTTATAGAAAAAAAAATTATTGAATCAATAAATCCATTTTCTTGAGAACGAAAATAAGAGTTGTCCGCTAAGCATGTTCTTGATCATTTTCTACTTTTATTAAAAATGAAAAATGATGAAACTAAAAAGATCCAATAATGTTTTTTGTTTTTGCAAAAAGCAAATAAACCAGAATGCTTTTCACGTTAACCCAAACGTCAGGTGGATTTAGCGGTTTAGAGAAGTATGTTGTTGACAATGACAAGGTGGGAAACTATAAGGGATAAAATACAAGCTATCATAAAATGATTACATAGGAGCGACCTCACATAAAAGCATCATTCAAAATATTTAAAAATATTTAGGAGATCCAAATTCAAAAGTAGTGAACTTAATTTAACACACAATCATATGTACAGGTTCCTTCTTAGTGTACAAGCATTTGATTTTAAGATACACTTGCCATATTGTTCTTATTTGATTGATATATAATTACAAATATATTATTATTATTATATCATTGATATGGATTTTGGAATTTAGCTATATTTAAGCAGCTAGATGAAAATGAAGCTATTGAATGCTATTAGAAGATGAGCTCTAAAGAAATTCCTTTACTGCTTCGTGTTATATTTTAGTACCAAAACTGAGACATTGTTTTTCCAGTCCCCGCAATGGAAAGTTTTCCAATTTATTTAATTGCTTTCATGTGATAGGAGGTTATGAAACTGTGTGCGTTGGGCAGTTGAAGTTTTTCTATCAGGATATATAGAACATGAATTACGACACTCAGCTTTCTATGGCCTAAATTTTTATTTCTTCTTTCATTCCATTTCCATAATTAAGGGTTTATATGATTGAGAGCTCAAACTACTATAACACTCTGCTTTCTATGGTCTAAATTTAGATCGTCTTCTCTCCTTCTATGAGCTCAAACTACGTATTTCTAAGGGCGTTTCGAAAATACTTGGACAAAAAGACAACACTCACGGGAAGGAAATGTGCGATCATCCCGCTGCACAATCTCTCTTGGTTTCCTCAAATGCTCGGCCTCAAAACTCCTTCTGCGATCTTTGTTCTACAGACTGAGTCATGTGAATTATAAAACGAAACCAGTAACTAATAAAACAATGAAACTGAGAAATAGTCAATAGCACTTATATTAGTATCATACCTGCGCATCGTTTATACACGTTTGGTTATGTTACATCCCTATAAAAATGGCTGTTAGAAGGACATCTCGTATTTCCAATATGTTGATGAAGAGTACTTTTTTCATACACCGTATACTCACTGTCGTCACTATTTCTATACTATTGCTTTTAGTCTCAGCTCCTCCAGCTATTCATTGCAAAATGGGTTTATTGTCTTGCTAACATAATCTTTTGAAAAGAATCAAATACCAATAATTACAATATAGCCATTTTGACAGTTTGAACAGCGCTAGAACCAGCTTTATTCAAGATACTCTTAGCTTTCATTTGTTTCCTTACAGCTTCAACATCGACCCACCTTTCCGCTAAAGCATAAACATTTGATAGAGCTACATAGTCCTCGCTCTTTGAAGCCAACTCTGGACGACTGCATTCTTCTAATTGGAGAAGAAACTTCCCCACTTTCTCTCCCATGACAACATCCCCATGAATCTTGCATGCACCTAGCAGGCTCCTCCATGTTACAACATCAGGATTAATTGGCATCCACATGATAAATTCATAGGCTTCTTTTAACTTTCCAGCACGGCCAAGAAGGTCTACAATGCACCCATAATGTTGTATCTGAGGTGTCACACTAAATGTTCTCTTCATTTCATGGAACAATTGAAGGCCTTCTTCGATAAGCCCACCATGACAACAAGCTGACAAAAAGCTAGTAAAAGTTGCTTCATTTGGCTTCACTCCATAATCTCCCATTTTATATAAAATCTCCAATGCTTGTTTCCCTTTCCCATGGATGGCTAGGCCAGTAGTCATTGCTGTCCAAGTCAAGATATTCTTCTGGTTCATTCGCCAGAAAACAGACAAGGCACTATCAAGGCATCCACATTTTGAGTACATATCAACGAGCCCAGTCCCAATAAACACATCATCTTCAGGAGTACACACAGTCTTTTCTGCAAGTGCATGTATGCAAGCACCAGTTTCCAGCAAACCCATTTGAGAAACTGCTGAAAGCACAGCAACAACGGTTGTATCTGTTGGTTTAATTCCACTATCATCAGCTAACATGTCATTGAACAATGACAACGCATTGACAGCATATTTCTTGTTCTCTTCTTTCATGGAGGAATAACCTGTTATCATAGCATTCCAGGTAACACTGCTTCTCATCATCATTTCATCAAACACTTGACGGGCTGAGATAATATCTTTGTTTCTCGAATAATAGTATATTTTGGTAGTTCGGACCAAAATATTTGACCCAACCCCATGTTTTACTATCAGGGCATGTAGTTGTCTACCTACCCACAATGTTGAAGCTGACGGATAGCGAGCACAGGCTCCAAGAACAAAATTGTAGGTGTAATCATCAAAAAACATGAGTCCCCTAGAAAACTCATCTCGGAAAATAAGAATAGAATCATTGGGTTGAACACATCGTATCAAAGTATTAAAGAGAAACAGGTCTGGCTTGTCAAAGTACTGGAACACTAAACGTGCATTATTAGCAATGTGCAGGTCTGGTGAGCCACAATAATGCTCAATTAACTTGGCCAAGAAAGTGGGAGATTTCAGACCATTAGTAATTAACTGGGCATGAATTTGCTTTATATTGTTGGACAATTCGGGAAAAGAATACAAGAAAGAAATACATCTAAGTCTTGGAAGGCAGTTCAGCATGAGGTAAATTATGACCCATAAAAGAATATTAAAAATCTCGGCTCAAGAGATCAATTTTGATGTGTGAAAGTTTTGCCTTATCAAATTTCACCTTTCACTTTCATTTAACTCGAAAGATTAAACTCTCCTGATGTTTAATGTGCAGATCATAAAAGGAAGCTGATAATGATTTACAGCCCTACCTGTTGGTATAGCACCATCCATCCCCATACCCAAGCACTCTGGTCGGTCTATCCAATTATGATTGAAAAACTTCTACATGGAATTCATCATCATTCATCCAAGAATGTCTTTAACTCAATTTAGCTGAATGCTCAGAGGCTTCTCAGTCAATTCTTCATTTGTAAAATTATTCACAAGAACGTAAACAATTCCCAGAATCAGTTCTTAGTGGTTAGTACCATATACAATTTACTAAAACAAAAATAAAAATTCATTTTTCCATTAAAACGTGTAAGGGTGGAACATCCCAACTCTATACAAGTTAATTTCAATCATTAAGGCAGTGCACATGTACTCGTGCTTTTTCCCAGTCTTTTTGGGCGTTGCACTTCTGTTCATATACATTAAATTTGTGTATACTCCTTTTAAGTTATACACTTAATTGCTTGAAAATGAATTCTAATGCTACCTTACTATTGCTTTTTATTCAATTCCTCCACCATCACTATCAAGAGCAAAAGCATTGAGTAAATATACCTACCTAACTCAACCCTAAAAAATTGGTTAAGTAAAGTGGGGAATCGAGAAAGATTTTTTTTATCACACTCCTTACTATCTTATGGATTGATAGATATCTAATTCAACCCTATGTATTGTGAGATCTCATCATTTAACACAAACTTTTATCTTCATTCAATAACTTCCTATTCTAGTAGTTCTTCAATCCAAGAAACACACGCTGCTAAATACAAAATACTCGCTTCTCACACGAGAACAAATAACAGCATTTAGATATATGTCTACATTCCCTCACTCAAATTGCTCACACTGATTTTTCTAAATTATCATCTATGACTCACGAAACTAAAGAAAACATAAAGAACTCGATGCTTTCAAATCCTAACTAACAATGAAACGGAGATGAATTAAATCAACAGGACCACACATATCAATGAAATAATAATGTAGGTTATAAGTAATAAATAAAAGATTGCAAAGAAGCATAGGAGAAAGAGAGAAAAATTACCTCTGTCAGCTACAAAGTATCGAGTGAGAACTTGCGCGTTGCCGAAAGGAATTGAAATGGAAAGAGAAGATGATAGGGGAAGCAATATGCTTGCAGAGGCACTGCTACTAAACCTGATCGAGAATTGAGATGCAGAAGAATGTGAATGAAGTAGAAGAAGGACAAGACAAGCGGTTTTCGTTGCAATGGTGATGATGACTGATGAACACCGCTGAACTTTTGAGCTTGATCATTGTGAAGATTGAAGAATGGGCCCTTGAATATACTGTATCCACTTTTCTTGGACTTATGGCCCAAATTCTACCTTGTTATAAACACATTAATTTCAAACTATTCATTTTTTGTAAAAGAGACTATTGAAATTCAATTTAAAGAAAAAGATAAAATAAGGTATATTAAACTGAATAAGCAGATAATATTATCAACAATACATATTAAAAAAAGTTTATAATCGTGAATATTTATTTAGGATGACTTGTCATCATTGATTAAAAACAGTTGTTTATGATAAAATTCAGATGATGTCAACAAAACATTCACTTCACCAAAAGCAGTACTGGGACTGAAGTTTATCAGAATATGAATTGACCCGACCATTTTGTTTTACTTTTTTTTTTGTCAATAATTAATTATGTCATTAATTGTTTTCATTTTTTTTTCAATAATTATCTGTTTTGTTCGGTTCTTTTTGTTCAACAATTAAATGTTTTCTTTTGAAAGGCAACAATTAACATCCATCACCAAAACAAAAGCCCAAGCCTTGACTGGTGCCAAACAAAATGGGTGAATGTTAATCTGAGCCCGAGTTAATGGTCTCTCAATTTACTGTACCATTTGGGACTTGTTTAAGCACTTTTATAAAAATTGGTAAAAAAATAAAATAAAAAATCTAGTTAAAATAATTTATCAATAAGTTAATTTAAAAACAAAAGTAAAATTTCTGAAAAATCTTTCATTTTCTAAAAAGTTTATAAAGAAGTTTCTGCAGACATAATAATCAGAAAAATGGTTCTTGAGTGCATGGTCTAGGTTTTTAGCCAAATTAATTCTTGCAACATCCTCATCATGTTTTGGCTAAAACCAAGAAAATGATCCTGTTAGATTAAGGAGTATCCAGCATGCACAGACATACATATCGAGAGGGACAAAAACTGCACCAGACAAAGTAAAGTGATGTCTAATCTTGGCTACCCAATATTGTATGAAGAGAATAGGAATGAATATGAATCCTTTCACGCTATATTTTCATATGACAACACGTAAAATTATGTGTTTTTTTTTAATATTAAAAAGTAGAATTATATTTAATCTGAGTTTAATAAACGTATTTAATAGATGTAGAATATATTATCAACTAACAAAAAATCATACCACCAAGCTCATCAATTAATTAGTAGTAAATCGACTTAATTACTTATTCGAGTTATGAATATGTAATTATATACTTTAAATAAAAATAAACTTTTCTGTAGATAATATATAATCTTTTCAAACTAAAACAGAATTATCTTTTCATGAGAAAGATGTCTAATATTTTTTAAAAATAATAAAAATTACTCTTCAAAATTTTCAGAATAAATTACCTTTATATTATTAATACATGTATTAATTCATAACTTGTTAGAAATGATAAAGAAAAATAGACACAGTTTTTACACACACACACACACACACACATATATATATATATATATATATATATATATATATATATATGTATATATATATATATAATTACGTAAAAGTGTTTTTCCTATAATGAATCGTTTCGTGTATAAACATGCCATGACGAGTTTAATTATGCCATTATCAAGTCAGATAATATTTGTGTGAATTAAATTATTTTAATGACATCTAATTGATTGCTCGCGTTATTTTATTTTACCTTAAAATTAACGTTAGGTAAAAAAATAATAATTCTTATATAAATCTTGCACTTTTTTATTTTTTCTAAAGTAATGGATATTCTTTAGGTGGATTGGATGAATTAAATTCGGAATTAGTAACTGATTTTAAAACTAATGAAGTTGACTTTAACTTTATAGTTTATCATATATTCATACATCTCAATTATATTTCAATAGGAAATAACATCTCATATAGAAGATGTGTACCAGAAGAACTCTATATTGTGTGTACTTTATGTTTTGAAGTTATGATTTTCCCTAAGAATTCTAGAGGAACACTAAAAAAAAAAAAATCATATCGAAACAAATGTTGAGTCAACCCTAACTAAGAGGACAAGTATCTAACCAAAATCTGCTCGCATCCTCATTTTGCTCTCGTACTATCCATGACTTTAGCCATTTTTATTTGTCCAATCCATAGTCAGCTACCAAATATATTGTTCCATGTCAATTGTTCACGTGGTTTCTTCGAATAAGTTTTCAGAGACACAAATATAAAATATTCAAGATTTTTGTTAGATTTTGCCGTGGACAACGTACCATATCCACCACCATTTCATCTAGTGTAAGATGGTACAACACCATATATTGGAATCTGGTACGTCTTAATTAGTTGTTATTCGGTGGAAAATCCACGTTGCATTTGTAGATAATACTTTATTTGAGCCACATTTTCTTTTTCTTTTCTCTTTAATTAATTCCACGTACAAGACAAGGCTATTATAGCATATGTTTAGTTACCCAAAAAGTAAAAACAAATAAAATAAGGTTTTGGTAAGAGCATTCATTGTTATTGTCGGCCACCTTTTGTGACTAAAAATGTTTAAATGTAATAACATAACCAAACGTGAGTGAGTGAACTTAGTCAATCTCTATATCCACAAGGTGGATGCATACTCACGTAAAAGTGTACACATAGGTATAGCATCTTGCATGTTAAACTTTTTAGTGGCATCCCTATGAACTCTCTCTCTCTCTCTAAGTCATGAATAAAGACATTATTATTATAGGTACAAGGTACACAATACAACATACGAGCCATGATAAGTTCAACAACACTTCACAGTTTACTGGACTAAAACTAACAGCTATAATTGAAAACGGAATAGAAAAGAAAAATAAGCTATTACGAACAGAACATGTTGTCCAAACATGTACCAGACCCTAGCTAACATGCATAATGAGGTTAGAAGCCCAAGTAAAGGTTGTCATGAATGTGTTCCACATACATATATATATATATATATATATATAAACACGTATATGTATATGTATGGTGATAAGAAGCAAACAAGGGAGTCGTTGAAGGCTGAATTATCGGTGTTGAATTCAAAGAACTTGATTGAACTTAAAAAAAAATAGTGTTTAAAAGTGGTAAAACTAAAACATTTTCTTTTTATTTTAGAAATTTATTAAAGAATCATGTATTGGGTTAAAAATTATCAAGGCATATTGGAAAATTTTACGTAATCACAGGTAATTATATATTCAAATATTTAAGAAATCATGAGTAAGTTATAATAGGACAAACCCTAGCACCAACCTGCTCCTCGTCAACTTGAACAAATTCTCTGAAACAAAGCAATTGTTGCACAAAATATGCGACCTTCTCCAACAATGTGCAACATTGCACCCTTTCAAACAGAAGACAGTGTTCAAGCAATTGAAAACAGACAAAAATTCTACCTTAATTGGAGTTATCAACCACCTCTATTTACATGTGTATGATCAATCTACTCGCAACCGTAAATCTTTGATGAAAAAAGAAGAAGACATAGAGACATATAAAATGTTGACAAGTGGCCACTGCGTCGAAGCTTTTTCTTGTTGTGACCAATCCTATCGAGTTAGCTCTCATCCCTTCCACGTACCTATTTTACCAATGTATCGTGTTTGTATGCACA